TCTACACCAGAATAGACTCAAAGGCACTTACCAACCATTGTTACTTGGCTGGTGTATAAAGCAAAGACCCCTTGCTTGTTAGCAAATCCCACGGGCAATTTTCAGAAAACAGACAAAAAGGCCAAAGGGCCAGTTCTGTTGTTGCAACATTTGTTCCATCTTTAATATTAGTAGCAGATTAAAAAACACACAGTATCTCCAAAAGAGGAAATTAAAAGGCAAGACACGTATGTGTGGATGTATACATATGTGTTGTATATGTGTTTTAAAGTAGCAAATGATTGTTGAACTTTCATTTTATCCCACTGCTGCTCTCGACGACCTTGTTTTCCATGGCCAGCTTGACGCTGAGAGGCTAAGCTCTTTGTGAGTCCTTCGAACGCCTATTGGAATTACAAGTTAGGACCCATTGTGTCTGTGCCTCCTCTTTTCTGAAATGACTCTGCTCTTGCACTTCGTTTTTTGTTTATTGATGTAATTGCCTTAAAACCAAATAAAACTAATGGCTAGAAGTCATCAACTATGAAAGTCTCCTAAAAGTGTGTTGGGAGCAGATAGACGGCTCAAAGTACGTTTCCCTGCCCACCGAGTCCTGTGTGCAGTTATAAATTTTAAGTGTTTTGCCCACAAAGCACATGCTAACATGCAGTTGTTTTTAAAGTGCTTGTGTTGCATCCTCGTGGTCCGTCTGTGCTCCGTGGGGTATCACGTTGCTCTAAGGTAATGAACCGGGTCCTTGGCCCCTAAATCTCCGTGCTGGAAACGATTACATACAGCTGAAAGGCTATGTCTGAAGTTTTATGAATCTTGAGAATTTTTTCTTCTTTGGGAAGAAACATCTCCCAAAGACTTTTTCTTATCATTTGGTGGGGGCGATGAGAGCGTGGCTGCATTCCTAACAAGCTTCTGTTGCAAAGCTCTGTGGTTTGTGACCATGCAAGGCGACTATGAAAAGTTCGTGGAGAAATGGAAGGGGAGATCATGGAATTTTTCCACGAAGTTTTGAAGCCCGCTCGTATAGTTTGAAAAACATGCACTATCTCTGCTGCAATGTCTGTCTTTTAACTTGCTGCAGATGTGTGCTGAAAGAACATGATGTGCTTATTTGTTGTATTTACGCTCTTTCTTACTTTGAGTAAGATGGGTGAAATTACATATTAAATAAAAACAGCAGCTCAAACACCAGTCCGTAACAAACTGAAAAAGCCTTCCAGAGACTGGGGAAAATGAGACCCTGCCTTTAATAATGCATTGACTTTTGAGAGAATTAGCTATTTAAAGCAAGTGTATAATAATTGCATTGTGGGATTTACTTCGTGCTAACTGTCCAATGCTTAAAAGTAAGCTGGCATTAAATTGTGTTGCTGAAATGCTATTGAAAGTATTGTGTGTGTTCTATCTTAACCATATAAAACGCTTTAATTTTGACACAACTGTACTTATATACACATGAACACATGTGTGCATGTGTGTCAGTGGGTTTTTATAGTCAGTATCTGGGAATTTGTCCCACCTAGACATGTAGAATGTTGTAGTGGAAAGAACATGGACTTTGGCATGCGACTCTAGCTAGTGACAGTAGCTGGGTGGTCTTGGACAAGTTATTTAAATTCCCTGAACCTCAGTTTTTCTCATCTGTGTGATACGATCCCTGCTTTTTAGGGCTGTCAGGATTAAATGAGAACCTCTCTTTGCACATACATACTAGGGCACAATTACTTACATCCAGCGCGCCAAGATTCATAAAGTGCAGTGTGTTTTAATTTAGTGCTTCTGAGCTGGAACATGTAATCAGGATTGAAACTTTATATTGACTGTTGCTCATCACACTCAATTCTAAAGTGGAAATGCAGACTATGGAGACCCAGTGTTCCTTAGGCTATTTGTGGAAGGTGTTTATTGAGTGACTACTAAGAATAAAGCCTTGGAGTCTTTTAATTACATATAGCGGAATACGTTGGAAATCCAGCAAGGGAGAAATGAATCTGATGTGTTATCAGTTCATTTTCTAGTTCTTCCTGTATGCTTGCTGTTTTCCTTTTTCTACACCTTGGTTGCACCTGTAAGGAACTTTTTCAAATAGAAAAACATTTGACTCTGATCAGTAATCACTGAAAAACAGGATTGATTATTATGAAGCAATAGTAAGGAACACAATTGGGCCTCCCTCCAGCCTCCCGGCCTTCAGTTACCAGCACCCTTAGGCTTATGTGTGAGAGAATTAAAACTACATGAAATATGCATCCAAGTTAGAGAGTACAATTTTTGTTTATGTCTACAACCGCTGTAGATAGAATTCTTCATACAGAGATGACCTCAATGGTGCCCCGCTCCCTCCTTCACACACACACATTCTCTCTCTCTCTCTTTCTTAAAACTCCAAGTAGCCCTCTAAGCCAGTGTTGTTATTGAAGCCAAGACTCATACAGTGTTATGGGAAGCTTCTGCCACTTAGTTACTTTTATTAATTTTAAAATGCTCTTCAAGATTATATATTTACAGCTCATAAATACTTTTTTTTTTTTTTTTGGCATTTTAACAGATGGTTTTGAGCCAGAATCTTGGGTATTTGAAAGATGTTCTGCTCAATTGCTTGTTACCGTCCCATAAAGCCAAGGGGGTGAATACAGGGTCATCTGCTCTGCTGGGCATGTAGTATTTGGAGACTTGCTTAAGGAAGTTGGCTGTGGGCAGAAGCTGCCCTGTGACATCTACCCAATTCCTCCCTCAGAGAACCAGCAGCTGCTCCCTGTCAGCAGGGCCCTCCCTGTGTGCTTCTGTCCACCCATCACCTCGAGCAGAGCCCGCTGCCTCTCAAGCAGGTTGGGGAGCCACTTCCGTACAGTTTGGATGGAGCTTATTTGCAAAGAAGAGAGACCAAGTATCAGCTCCTTTCAGCCTCTTCTTCTTGTCTTATCAGGCCAATAATAGCTGTAGAAAGGTAAAAAGTATCCCACGTTTGCACCCAAAGCACCTCTCTGCTTAAATGAGAGAGGAGATTGGCTTTCCCACCAGAAACCAAATGATCACCGAGGGCCTCTTTCTGCTGGGATGTCGCAGTGCAGAAAAGGCTTGGGATGAGAGAAAGTTCTCGTTTTGTGAGGAGGCAGCGACATGCCACATGGAGCACATCCTTGTTCTGACTGTGGCTCCCACTGCTTTCTGTTCCCTCCTTGTACTCCAGAGACATCGTTAGAAGAGAGGCTTGAAGGCTTTAGCGTCACTCTCTGTCTGATTATGGGGTTGGCAGTTTTAAGTGCCTTTAATCATAGAAAATGGAACTTGATGGAGCAAAATTCCCAGCCAACAAATGTCAGGAAATAAGGCACGACCCAATATGCACGTGAATTTGAAGTGAAATGCATCTTAAACCTTTGTTTTTTGTTTTTTGTTTTTCTTAGTCACCTTTTAATGCTAAGTACTGGAGCACTAGCCGTGCAACCAAGGGAAGTGGTAAACCTGGGAGAGGGAAGTTGAGGAAGATGGACCTTTTTGTTTTACAAATATTGCAACTGAATAATATGTAAAGCATTTATAAAGATAATAATCATCCTATTATTGTATAATGGATGCCTTCTTTGCTTCCATTGTTTCTGATTTGCAACAGTATTGAAAATAAGTTACTTCTTTTTTATACACACTTCCATATTTTGAGTTGATGGAGTGCTTAACATACTTGATATAATTTAGTTGATTTCTGGTCCCTCTTTCTCTGTGGAGATGTGTCCCAAGGAGTGAATGCAACATTCCGATGTGGAGTACAGAACCAGTGGAGAGGTCTGGTGGCCTAGCCCCAGTACCAAATACTAAGTGGATGCCTGCCCTTTCCCCCAGAAGAATTTATCAAACCCCCAGAAGAATTTATTTCGAAGGACGGCATTGAATCTGTAGCTCCGGGAGAGGGACCTATCTGATTGGAGGAGCACACGGGAACAGATGAAGGGGGAGGAGGAGAGAGTGGAGCACATTCTGGCCCACCAGGCCTTGAGGATGATGTTCCCGATTAGAGCAGCCAGTCCACAGAGAGGACCACATGGCCAGCCCCACTATGAGACATGACGCCCCACTGACCCATGGCCCTGCGGGGGACAGCACTTGAGACACAGTGTGGGAATTGTGCCTGATCTGATCCCGCCACAGCAAGGCAAAGCACTGGGGGAGTGCAGCGGAACAGCAAGGGAATGGAGCGGCAAGGTCCCCAGGGAATGATGAAGGTGG